TAACCAGTCATCACAGCTTATCATAGTTCATCACCACCATGTATTTAGTTCCTCCCTATTCACTCTGTGTTTATCTGTTGTTTGTGGAGATGTTTACACACTGTTATGCCTTATCGCCTGCTTGTGGATTAAACCGTCGTTGGTATTTTTGAACCTGCCTTCGTCTGTCTTAATCTTCATCATCTGGTGACAGCTACATGATCATATCATGCTTCAATAGAACATAATTAACATTAGCAGTATGTTTTGGATACTTGTGATTGATATTTATAGCAGAACAGTGGCTGCAGCACAACTAAACTTTAGCACTTAAATAACACTTCTTTACTTCTAATAATTAACTTGCAGGGATAACTGTCCTATTAGGCAGGGAATCAGCAAGCTGAATGTTTTGCTGTCAAGTCACATAGTAATTCTGCTCATCAGTGTAAAAACACCTGGAAACTGCTTGTTTACCAACATTTTTTCAAATATCTTTTGTGTTTAATAGAAGAAAGAAACTCATACAGGTTTGGATAAACTTTGGAACAAGGGTAAGTAAATTATATAATTTTCATTTTTTTGAGGTGAACTACACCTTTAAGTGGTTGTTTACTTTAAGAAAATTAAAGTTTGAAAATGTTCCATACTTTTGACTTAAACAACAGAACGTTAGAAAAAGTCATCATGCATACTGAATAATTATAGTCCCCCATTCAACCATGATATATAAAATATATTTTTAAATAAATAAATGGACAAATAAAAATTTGAAATGGCCCATGTATGATACTGTGAAACCATGGAGCTCATACTCAAGGGAAAAAAATCTATTTTATTCAGAAGCTGAACAAACTGAGCAAAAATACGCCATTTGGTGCAGCTGCTATTTATATGGCCAAAAAGTACGATGAATATATGTTAAAATTGTAATGTAAATCAAAGAGATCTTTAACAGTAAAACCGACTACTCTGTTCCTCAAAAGCCTGCACTCTAAAAAATGCTGGGTTAAATACAACCCAGTGCTGGGTAAAATAGGGACAAACCCAGCAATTGGGTTGTTTTGACCCAGCGGTTGGGTTACTACCCAGAAGGTTGGGTTAAACATTTAATGGACTGAAGGGATGCTATCATCTGGTCTCTGGAGAGAGTTTACCCCCGGTCCAGAGCCTGTTTCACCACCATTTACCACAGAGGAATCATGTGAGACCCCCGCAGACAGAGAGCTACCACCTGCTGCAACGTGTCAGCCAGTGCCCGAAGATAAAAGGCCAGCCCAGACCCTCATCCCGGAAGAGGAGCTCCCCAGTGTGTCTGACCAGGGGTGTGAGCCCACGATATCAGTGGCTGAGGGTATATTGGTGGAACTTGAGACTGTGGACTGGCTGATGGATTTCAGCGCGGAGGTATCGTCCACACACCCTATGCCACCACATTGCGGTCATATTTGATACTCATACTTTAACATGATGTTTCTAAAAAAGTACGTACACTGTAAACCCCAATGTTGTCATTAATAAAGAAATCAAGTTATCATAACTTAACATTACTTAAAATGCCAAGTTTTGGTGTCAAAAATTAAACAGGTATGTTTAATTAACTCATTTGGGAGCAAAAATCTTTTGAATTAAGATTTTAAGTGTAATGAACTCAAAATGTAAATTTATTTAAATTATGCTCTATGTCTCTGTTTAATATGATTGGTCGTGTTTGAAATTCTGCCTTGACAAATGCGCTGATTGGTCGATATAACACAAGGCGGTAAATTTTGGTCGTTGTGAATTTGCTGAAGCAGCGGTCCAGAGACACTGGCAGAGAAAGCCATCTAAAAGATGAAAATCAAATGTTAAATTGGTAAGTAGAGAATAAAACGCATATACACACTTTTCTTAATTACCTTACAAGTTTTATTGTAATGTTACTTGAAAGGTACAATTGCAAATTTCAAGTAAACCTAAGTTGCTTCAGTCAAGTGTTCATCTTGAAACATTACTATAAAAAAGCTATTCTTATGTTTAATTGATAAAAATCATTTTATTATTTTTAAGAATTATATCAAGAGGCCTTTTACATAATAAAAAAAAAGTTTTTCAGCAAAGTTTTGATCTTGATCATTTTAAGGCCTTAGAAAGGCATGCATTAAATATCACATAGTAGGCTTTCTCCTATAGGGTTACGTTTACAAAAGTGTATTTATTTTTACTGCATCTATCTGCTGTGCGACCACATTTCATCTCTGGAAAACAACGTTTTATTGTGACTTCTACATTGCAACACATGATTCCAAATAGCCTAACTCAAGAGAAAAAAATTCCATTAGTCAAATATTCACAATAAAACAACAAGTGGGTTTATTAGCGCCATTTCCCCAAGAGTTTCATAATACGTGTCCTCGAAAAACACGACGACTAGCCTTCTCCGTTCAGAAATGGGCCACCTGTGATAACAATGTGATAATTAAGGCCCTTCAACAGGGCGGCATCATGTGACTGAGCTTGATTTGCTACAGGTGTTCATCTTTCCTGGAGCATCTGCCATGTAGATTCTGTTTGCATACAGTTGGTCTTTGTTAAAACTATCTGTAACGTTTGAAAAATAAGGATTTTTCAAATAGCCATGGGTCATTGGTGGAAATGCGCCATGATGTCCGGCATAAACAACCTTTCCATTCCATCAACTGATGTGGACTTGAATGTCACGGATCTACAGAGGACACTGGAGCCTCACTGCCCCATTAAAATTGGGATTATATCGGTTTTGGGAGTGATGATAACTTTGGGAAACATTGCTGTGGTGTCGTTTGGGCTGCTTATCATGCCGCTCAATTTGTGCGTGAGTTTCATGAAAGAATATAACGTGGGCCCGGACCCCTTCTGTCACGTCGTAGCATTTTTCAACGCAACTATTTATTCCACCTGCATGTACACCCTTGCAACCATAAGCCTGGAACGATACATAGCAGTGTTTTACCGTCTGAAGTTCTCCACCGTGCTGACCAGGAGAAGAGCGCTCTTCGTTCCCATCTCGTTCCCGGCGGGCATCATTGAAGTGCAGTTCTCCAGAGCCTCGCTTGTGTATAACCCGCTGTACTCCAGCAATGTGTCTTACTCTCTGTCTCTGACGTGCTTCATCTTCTTTGTGCTCGGCCATCATGACCTTCTGTAACCTCAGACTGTGGATAGCTGTTAAGAGACAGAGGTTGAAGTTGAGTAGACACAGCTGGCGTGGAGGATACAGGCCTAAAGTCGCCTTGCGTGTTCTAGTACCAGTCATGACCGTTTACTACACCTGCTGGACACCCTGCATGGTCATCATGCTGTACAATGGTGAGATCATGATTAATAGCCTATCGCTTGTATTCATTCTAGTGTTGTTCCGATCCCAGCTTTGTGTATGGAGCACTAAAAGCAGATGTTTAGCAGAATATCCAAGCTGCCCTTTTTTTTAACGGAAGTAAAAAAGTAGACTAGTGGACAGTGATCGAAAGTTGCAAAGCTCCTTTTCAATTTCCCCATATAGCTCCTATTATTGTTTTATTCACCCATATGACCAAATAAATAAATAAAATAAAATCAGTCAAGTATATTTCACAATATACAAAAAATGGCCAATGTATACACTACTGTGCAAAAGTCTTAGGCCACTAGTATTTTCAACAACAACAACAAAAAAAACCCCTTCTGTCACGTCGTAGCATTTTTCAACGCAACTATTTATTCCACCTGCATGTACACCCTTGCAGCCATAAGCCTGGAACGATACATAGCAGTGTTTTACCGTCTGAAGTTCTCCACCGTGCTGACCATCTCGTTCCCATCTCGTTCCCGGCGGGCATCATTGAAGTGCAGTTCTCCAGAGCCTCGCTTGTGTATAACCCGCTGTACTCCAGCAATGTGTCTTACTCTCTGTCTCTGACGTGCTTCATCTTCTTTGTGCTCGGCCATCATGACCTTCTGTAACCTCAGACTGTGGATAGCTGTTAAGAGACAGAGGTTGAAGTTGAGTAGACACAGCTGGGGTGGAGGATACAGGCCTAAAGTCGCCTTGCGTGTTCTAGTACCAGTCATGACCGTTTACTACACCTGCTGGACACCCTGCATGGTCATCATGCTGTACAATGGTGAGATCATGATTAATAGCCTATCGCTTGTATTCATTCTAGTGTTGTTCCGATCCCAGCTTTGTGTATGGAGCACTAAAAGCAGATGTTTAGCAGAATATCCAAGCTGCCCTTTTTTTTAACGGAAGTAAAAAAGTAGACTAGTGGACAGTGATCGAAAGTTGCAAAGCTCCTTTTCAATTTCCCCATATAGCTCCTATTATTGTTTTATTCACCCATATGACCAAATAAATAAATAAAATAAAATCAGTCAAGTATATTTCACAATATACAAAAAATGGCCAATGTATACACTACTGTGCAAAAGTCTTAGGCCACTAGTATTTTCAACAACAACAACAAAAAAAATGGTTTTAAGCCAGTTATTTCTGTCTTTTGCTTTAGGAATGTTTGGAAATGTAAACTGATATTTCCTGCTGACACATTAAAGCAAAAGATAAAAATAACTCACTTAAAACCTTTTATTGTGTGTGAAAATACTAGAATTCTGCACAGTATTGTAAATATTTGCTAAAATGTTTAAATACATTTACTTAAATATGTGTTCTACTAAAGTATATATATTTTTTATATTTTTGAAAATATTTTAAATAATATAAATATCCATATCAAGTCAAGAAAATAAAAAATGTAGTTCTATTTTCTTGCTCCTGAAATACAATTTGAAATCTATTTTGGTATATGAAGGTTGAAAATGAATATTTTATATTTAAAATATATATATTTAATTGAGCAAAACATTTTGGACGTTTTTTTACGGAAATGCACAGTGTTGAGGAACTTGAAACAAATGAATAAGCAAATAAATGATTGCCATTATTTTAAACATTTGACAGCCCCAATGTTTTGCATTGATGTATTTAGCATTGTGGTTAGTGTATTTAGTTGCTCTAGGCCTAAAGTCGCCTTGCGTGTTCTAGTACCAGTCATGACCGTTTACTACACCTGCTGGACACCCTGCATGGTCATCATGCTGTACAATGGTGAGATCATGATTAATAGCCTATCGCTTGTATTCATTCTAGTGTTGTTCCGATCCCAGCTTTGTGTATGGAGCACTAAAAGCAGATGTTTAGCAGAATATCCAAGCTGCCCTTTTTTTTAACGGAAGTAAAAAAGTAGACTAGTGGACAGTGATCGAAAGTTGCAAAGCTCCTTTTCAATTTCCCCATATAGCTCCTATTATTGTTTTATTCACCCATATGACCAAATAAATAAATAAAATAAAATCAGTCAAGTATATTTCACAATATACAAAAAATGGCCAATGTATACACTACTGTGCAAAAGTCTTAGGCCACTAGTATTTTCAACAACAACAACAAAAAAAATGGTTTTAAGCCAGTTATTTCTGTCTTTTGCTTTAGGAATGTTTGGAAATGTAAACTGATATTTCCTGCTGACACATTAAAGCAAAAGATAAAAATAACTCACTTAAAACCTTTTATTGTGTGTGAAAATACTAGAATTCTGCACAGTATTGTAAATATTTGCTAAAATGTTTAAATACATTTACTTAAATATGTGTTCTACTAAAGTATATATATTTTTTATATTTTTGAAAATATTTTAAATAATATAAATATCCATATCAAGTCAAGAAAATAAAAAATGTAGTTCTATTTTCTTGCTCCTGAAATACAATTTGAAATCTATTTTGGTATATGAAGGTTGAAAATGAATATTTTATATTTAAAATATATATATTTAATTGAGCAAAACATTTTGGACGTTTTTTTACGGAAATGCACAGTGTTGAGGAACTTGAAACAAATGAATAAGCAAATAAATGATTGCCATTATTTTAAACATTTGACAGCCCCAATGTTTTGCATTGATGTATTTAGCATTGTGGTTAGTGTATTTAGTTGCTCTGGTAATGCTTTAGGTCCCTAACTTTACAGTAAGGTTAACTAACAAGGAGCTATATAACTTTTTTTGTGTTGTTAATTAGTTAATAAAAAATGCAGCTGTTTATAATATTTGATGTTAGCTTAGGTCCATTAAATAACAGATACAGGTCATTTAAATAACTAATATTAAATATAGGAAATATTAAAATTAACGTTAATACATGCTTTAGAAGTATTTTTCATTGTTCGTTTATAATGGCTAACGTTAACAAGTGAAACCTTATTGTAAAATGTTACCATTGCTCTTTTATTACTTTGTAAATTCACTGGAATGCGTATGATTCACATAGAGTGCATGTCTGTTACATATAAATGTATAGCAGTGGTCTGTGGTTATGGTGCCTAGGCCTATGGCCGGTCTGTCACTGTCTAAAGTGGGAGGTATAATACTTTATTGTTAAACTGTCTAACGAGAGAAGGACGGAGAATGCAATGACCTCAGATAGCTTAGTGCAGCTGCTGTTTTCAGCAAACATGAAGAGATAATCACAGAGTTTTATGGGAGCTGAGATGAAAGACAAGACAAGGAGACTGAAGCCCTCCTACATGGTGTTTAAATTGCCCACTTTTATGGCACTTGTTTGTCCTTTTTGGAGCTTGACAGTCCTTGTTTACCATCTACTTTGGTTGTGTGGAAAAGAGCAGCTTGAGCATTTTGCTAAATAATGTAATGTATGCAGAGTCAATTTTACTGTTAAAAGTCAATGTAGCCAAAAACATACTCAACCTTCCATATTTAATTGGACTGAAGTATTTAAATGTTCTGTGGTCTGACACAGCCATGGACCTGGAACCTGTCACCTGAAATGGTTCAACATTTAAATTCAGCAGCTGATTTTACCATTGATTAACTTTTGAATAATATTTATGGACAGATCATCTGCATGTTCATATTTATGACTGTAGTTGACTGGTGATATATTTGTGAAGTGTTGTAGTTTAACTACCTTTTTAATAGACATGTAATGTAGTTAAAAAATGCATAATTTACCCCACATAATTCTTAGTCACAATGTAACAGAAGTAACACAAAAGAAGATATTTTGAAGAATGTTGGTGTCCAAACAGTTTCAGTTCCCATTGAGTTCCACTGTACATAGACAATACAAAGAAAGAATGCAAGAATACAAGTCAAGGGAACTGAAACTCTTTGGTTAGCACCATTCTTCAAAATATCATCTTTTTTTTGTTTGTAAACTATTCCTTTAATGATTGGAGAAATCCGGTGTACGTCACCAGAGAGAAGACTGTCATTTCACCATAAAATATTTTGATTAAAATGTAAAAATGCAACGCATGCATGGATTAATTGTTCTCAATCATTAAGATGCCAAACCATTTAGAAAACAGGTTGAATTTCCATTTCATGCCAACTTTAAGTATAGTAATGATGCACAATTACACCCCTGTAAGTTTGAAATGACATGAGATTGGGTAAATTATGAAATTGTCCACTTTAACCTTGAAGTCAGCTATTTCTAGGGTTGCAAAAAGGTGGAAAATTTCCAGTAAATTTCGGAAACATTCCAGAAATTTGGGAAAATATTCCAGGGATTTTTGTAAAGTTTCCGGTAATTTACCGGAAATTTTCCACCCCTTTGCAACCCTAGTTATTTCTTACATAGGCCTTTTGGATTAGATGTTACTTTGCAAATGCATGTAATTTATTTAGTAGGTATTGTATTACCATGATGCTAATATGTTAAAGAAAGAATAAGTCCTAAAGCATGCTTTCCTTGTTCACAGCGATTTCAGGCAGTGGCGTCCCCGAATGGATCGAGTTTATTGCTGTGTGGTTACCAACCTCCAATGGCTTCCTCAATTGTATCTTCTACTTCTGGATCAACCATAGCTTTAGAAGGAAATTCCATTTGGTTCTTCAGAAACTATGTCTAGGACTTTGTCCAGGTTCTGACATTGATTCAAGCTGCGTCAACTCGGTGGAATCTTCTATGGTTCCCGGATGGAACGGTAACGGCTCGCTCCATGAGCGGTTTTCTAGCTTGTCGTCCACCTGCACTCTGCTGACACTCATGCCACCTCAGACTAACGTGCGTCAAACAGAGCCGGTTTGAGATTCCTTTTAGTCTTGTGATCTGAAGTTTTAAATCTCTGGTGAAGTTGAGTCATCATGAGTGCTACTGACATAACCTAACCTGCTCGGATGGAGGTTATTCCACTAAATGTCTTTTTAATCGCAAGTTAGCATTCAGAAACACTCATATTTCCCTTGTTTAATAGTTATTTGTGCTTGATGGCACCTTCTCATATTCACTCAGAACTGTTTTTTTGGCCTAATTGAAGTCTAAAATGGTTTTGCATTGTTGATTGCCGTTTCAAGTTAAACACACGAGAGCCTTTGAAACATTTGCACACATTTCCTTATCTATTCATAAACCCAATATCAAGCAGCTGTGGAAGTTTAACCTTTAAATCTCAGTTATGTAGTTTATGCAGAAGGGGAAGTAATTAGCCAGGTACATAATGTAAAGGTCAGATCAAATATGCCTTTTGGCTTTAACCTTTTCCGTTTCATGACATTTCCATTGCATCTCTGAAGCAAACATTAATTTTTATTTTCAACTAAGTAGGCTTTTTGGTCACTGTCAGACGTAGAGGAACATTGTATGACCAGCATTATCAAACTGTAAATAAACCATATGGGTGGGCTATGACGGACTGGTGCAAATGTTGGATTGAAGTTGTCATGCTCAGAGGCTGAAGCTTTGTGTTTTTGGCTGTGTTGTAATAGCATTACTGTAAATCTAGATTTTAAGCTTTAAGTTTTAGCTTGAGTACTTGTTACAAAAATAGTACATTTCAATGGGGTGAAAAAAAAAAGTCCTGTGGTGGAGGGTGCATATAACGCAAGCACATAAAGAGCTGTTAATGACCTGGGAGTGTTATAAAGCCATACATAATGATTTATTACAAAAGTTTTTGATGTGTAAATAATTAAAAAAAATTATGTGGTTTATAAAAGTGTTTAAATGAAATGTTAAAACTTCAGCGTGCTGTAAAATAAAGCGTCAAAGCCTATTTACTATTTAAAGCATCACTGTTTGTTTTGGCTGTTTGATTGACTTTAAAAGATTCAGGACTTGCTGAAGTCGTAAGTCATCTTTTGGTAGACGAAGAATAAACCTGTTCCTGTGTGAAAACCCACACGTGAGCAGTCAGACATGTAGCTGGACGTGAGGTTCTCTTTGACGGAGCAGGACTCCATTCTGCTCTGCTCGTATATACAGTGGGGAAAAAAAGTATTTAGTCAGCCACCAATTGATGAAGATGACATTTGTAGTGGTTCATTTTGACAATAAACCTCGTGGGCTTGATACAGTATGTAAGGGATGTGACGAAGCTTGCAGATGTTCCCACATCCCATATAAAGAAACTATGTGCTGCATTTTTGGGGGCAGTTTACCTTTTACAGCTCAGGGGGGCATTTATTTATGTTTAATGGGAGAGCTGGAGCTCATGCTGGGCAAAAATGTGATAAATATTGCTCTCTGGAGTTTGTATTATGACTGTGAAACAATATATTTGCTTGTTTCCTGTGTGGGGTTTTGATTCAAGGGGTCATAGTTACCGTGCACAAGTTCAGGGCTTTTCAAACTGTGGTCTGGGACAATAGGGATTTGCAAAATGTGAAATATTTTAGGCCTTTAAAATGTTTTTTTTTTTTTTTTACCTTTAGAAGGGATAGTTCACCCAAAACAAAAATTTGTCATTTACTCACTCTCAAGTTGTTCCAAACCGTTTTCCAAAAGTTTTTTTTCTTTTTAATTTTTTAGCACAAAAGAAGATATTTTGAAGAATGTGGGTAAATAAACAGCTGACAGTAGTCATAATATAGAAAAAATACCGTGGAAGTCAATGGCTACCGGGAGCTGTTTGGTTGCAACATTCTTCAAAATGTATTTTTCTGTCAGGACCACTATCGTCAAAGATGATTGACAATTAGCATACAGTTTGGATTGGCGGTATGGTTCCGTTCTGGGCAAGAACTCCCTGCGCATCCATGCAGCCTAGCATGGATGAGAGCAGGGAGAGCAGCGATAACCCCCCCCCCAGGGTAAACAGAACAGAACCAACATAAATGTATTGCAGATATCGTTAGTTCATATAAGTTCAGTAATGTTATGTACACATTTTAGAATTAGTCTGATTCAAAGGAGAATCAGAAGGCTGAATCCTGACTGATAGAGGAGGAGTTGGGGATGGAGGTAATTAGCTATTGAGCAATGCGAAAACTGCTGAAACTACTGCGGAACCTTATATATGAATACTTAGGTGTCGTATTCCCATAGGTTGATGGGGATCAGATGAGAGTCAGCTGATGCGAGCTTGACTAACATGACCTGCCAGAACTAACGCTACTCTTGATTTTTGTTCAACAGTAGAAAGAAACTCATACAGGTTTGGAACAAGTGGAGGGTGAACAAACCGACAATTTTCATTTTTGGGTGAACCATCCTTTTAATGAATTTGATATTGCTGTTTAATTCTTTCAAAATATGGAAATTAATAAATTTGTATTATTTTATTGACCGCCATGTTTTATTGTATTTTTATTTATATGAGTTATGTATTTTTATTATTCTCGCCATATAGAGTCATCTTTAGACTGCTAACTTCACTTTATAAAATCAAAAATTCTCTCAAACATTATAAATGGACCTCATGCCTATTTTTAAGGGTCCTTGGCATCATCATTTTGAAGTTTCCTGGTCTTTTTTTATCACGTTTGACCAAATAAGCTCCATCTCACCTCCGAAAAAATTGCATACATACCCCCAAGGGCTATAGAAAACAGCCCTCATTAAGGCTGCAGCATATACAATAAACTTTCTTATTTGTGATGTGGGAACATCAGCTGTGAACCTCAGTGCTACCTCAGCAACTTCTGTAGTGCTGCAGGAGATCGGATCAATTCAGCTCTTCTCTCGCGCTTTGTAATGGAGAAAAATGAGGAGTATATAGTCTCACCTAAATACTATTATGGTGGTCATATCAAATCAGCTTCCAGCATCCTTGTTTTGAGTTTAAGAGTTAAATCTGCATCGGTCAATAAAGACTGTTTTGCACCTTCTGATCTGTTCAGCTGCATAGAAAAGTAGTGTTGAGTTTAACAAGACCATCACATGAGACTGATTAAACCAGCTTCTTAACAGCAAATCTACACTAATGCACAAGTATAGGAAGCTACTGTACAGCGACACCTTGGGGGGTTGTTGAAGTGCTGCTAATGTGAAACTGATTTTTAAAAACACCTCGTGTGGTTCAGTTGCTAGCTGGGCAGTGACTTTATAGCTGTTTGTTGTCATGGTGATCAAATCACGTGGAAGCCCTTATGCCACTTGGAGTTGCTGCAGACCACCAAACAGACACTCAAATGCAGGTCTCCTTCTAATCAGCAAGAACAATGAAGGAGATGCTTGCTCATTTACTGTTGTGTTGAGAATTGATCAGATTCTACTATAAAAATCTGTGCACACACACACACACACACACACACAATAAATGCAATACACACATGCAATAATCCAGTAAATTGTTCTAAATGAGGTCAAGAACTTAAAAGAGATAGTTCACCCACAAACACAATTTCTGTCATAATTTATGAGGTCCCGCAGTAGTATCAGCAGTTTTCGCATTGCTCAATAGCTAATTACCCTCCTCCATCCCCAACTCCTCCTCTATCAGTCAGGATTCAGCCTTCTGATTCTCCTTTGAATCAGACTATGTTGTTACAAACTTGTATGACTTGCTATCTTATATGGAACATTAAAGATGGAAAGACATGAGAGTGGATTTTCATGTGTGGCTATTATTCAACCCAGGCACATTGGAAAAATTCTTTGTTGAGGGGTGCTGAAAGGTTAATGCTCTATTGTGTTTTAAAGCAACATACCACCTACACCAAACCCTTGAGATAACACAAACTTGAAATAAAAACGCATTTTATGACAGAACCATGTCATTTTAGCTTGCTTGTACAAGTCTTTGAGCTTTTATCACAAAATGTGTTTTACTGAACTCGTACCCGAGTGCTTCACATTACAAGTACAATGCTGTATCAGGTGGGCTACCGAGCAAGTTTACTTTGTCAGAAAAGCCGTACATATGGAGCTGGTTATGTGACACAAACATCAATGTGCTTGTTTAGTATAGTGCAAGGAATTGAGTGAAAGTAAATCTATTAATTAATAATCTGCATTTGTAACCATAACTTGTGTTAAAGTGTTGAAAGGAATAAACGTTGTTGGTGTTTTACTAGTGTTCATTTCAGCCAGAAACTGCAGTGAATTGTGGGCCCATGTATAGTTATGTTTTTGGAGTTTTGCAAAAATGTAGGTCAGGGGTTTTGCAAAAATATAGAGTTACTGAACAGTCAAATAACACTTCATAACATAATCGCCGTGACAGCTCATCAAAATTCAGGATTATTTGAGATTTAGCCATGTGTAGTGACATCTGATAGCTTCATCTGTGCCAGCTGGACCTGCCAAAGCAGTATTCTAATTATACTGATTGTAATGAGAGCCTCTTTTTACATTCTCATCATTATATATCTCTTTAAAAACATGGCCATTGCTAGACCATGTTTAGGGGGACTTCAGCTGTCCCTCGTCTTTTATCTCAGCTCTCCTAAAAATCTGAGATTCTATGAATATTATTTCTTATTACTAGATACAGCGGTTGCAGCAACCATGCTTTTAGAAAATTTCACAATAAATACTCCCCTTTCCAGCCACAGACTAGCTTTAAAAAAAAATGTTTCTCTCCTTTTGATGGCAGATGCAACATACTGTATTTGCTTAGAGCAGCAAGTCTGCTTCTCTGTTCCCTGATTTCCAGTCTAGTGAGATCACAAAAAGTGCAACCAAATGCACCATTTTTTACAGATACATACCATTCTCACAGCCACTTGAAATTTTAATAGATTTTATCTACAAAAGAATAATAATTGTACATAAATTGCACGTACAGAAACTAAATATTAGATATCACCCCTATGTAAAAAAAAAAAAAATAAATGTGCAAACATAACCAACATTTAAAGGTGCACTCATTTTAAATTAAAATTAAATCTTTGTTTGATTATTGGCGATACAACAGTCATACTGACACCTAGTGGTGTGAATGTAATATCCCAAAAATGTTTTCAGTTATTAATGCCATTGTAGCATTTCGCTATTGACAAAGATACATGATGATTAATTTATTCCATGAGTGAATGTGTCTTATAACAGGAAGGTTATTGAGATAAAGTGAGAAAATTCAGCTGGTCATGTGATCTCAACATGGCGCCCCCTATAAGGGCGCTAGCTCCATGTAGAATAAATCAGATTTTATCATGCTACTGATACCACTGGAGCGTTCATTTCATGTGAGCATACATCATTTTAAACATATCTTCCAAAAGTGCAATTCATTTCTTAATGAATGGTAAAACTTTATTATACTGAGCAAAAATTACTGAGTGCTCCTTTAAAGGGATAGTTCACCCAAAATTGAAATTTCTGTCATCATTTACTTACTGTACCCTCAGGTTGTTCCAAACTTGTTCTATCTTCTGTGGAACAAAAAGGATGATAATTTGAAGATGGTCCCCATTGACTTCTATAATATATAT